ACATACCCATATCTAGTTCACCAGTCAAGGATATTCGTTTTTCCTGTTGGAGTCTATTTACAGAGTTCACTGATTAAGACCCCGATAGTTAAAGGAGTAAGGTATCTTTGATTAGTAAAGATGTGTACATGTGTTTAGGGGTTGACAATTGTGTTTAAAGGGTACATATCCTTGGACCACAGTCTAGATTGATGATCTAATAAATAGAAAAGTCCCTTAACCTGTTGAGACACAAGGATACACTTTGTAGTCTTCAGTGGGATAGAGCAGACCCAGGTACAGCTCTCTCTGGTCCCCTAAAGATTTGCCCACAGCAGAGATCTTCTCTTCCACCACATCCAGGGAGGTGTGCACGGTGTAGTGAAACTTCAGCTCATTTTGGGTGGGCACACTGCGGATATACAGCGGGTAGTTCTGGGAGAGGACAATAAAGAGTACAGTCACATAATAAGCTTCCATTTAAAAACTCAACCATGTCGACGTAGATGCAGCAAATTCTACACCTAAAGAATAATGCTAATGTTGTTAGCTCTGTCGGTGTCTTTCAACCTGCTAGACATTCTGGTTTACACAGAGAGCTGACATTTTCTTCGAGACAATGATAAGTAGAAAAGATAAAACATCTTAGCATTAAAAAGCAGAATACAAATAGAACCTGGAACATTTAACAAAAGCAATCATTACCTCTTTTGCGATGACTGATATGCACACCGCCATGTTAGCTTTCCTTCTCTGATCTGTGAGGCGCTGTCACGTGATACGCTGCATTCAGAAGCTGGTGAAAAAGTGGAAACACGATTTGACTTGCCTATGTGGTTCTTATATTTTATATCATATAATACATTTTAACCATGATATGCAAAATACGTTTTTCATTTACATATTTGATACCCTTTTTATTGTATTTATAAATGTATTTGTTACATGGTTCATTATTCATTTCGACCGATATCTAATCCCATCGCGCACGTACATTTATCAGAAGGTCCTGAATGCATCACATGACGTATATATTTTTTAGTTTTGCTATTAAATCCTTATACCCAAGTCCACCATACGCGTTAACAAATTAAGGACATAATTGCCAATAAAGCTTAAAGCAATCTCAAACTTAAATGACTGAAGCAAAAACACAAAATAATTTCTGTGTGTGTATGCGCAAGCGTTGCGCTGAAGTTGCCGCACGAAGACAAACAAAGCACATCCTAGAAGTTGCTGCTCATATGACTGCAGCTATGCGAGTGATGTCTTCTCTAACTCTTACTCTATTTTTTTCAATAATATGTTGTTCCTTGACAGAAAATATATCAAATACATCATCTCCAAACATAATCATCATGCTCATGGATGACGTAAGTTATGTCTTGTGTTTTGAATGTGTTATTGTAACTTTAGTTACCCTCTTTCTTACAAGTCATTTGTTTTCTCTCTTTCTCTTTCTGTTTTCGGTAAAGGTATTTGTTTTCCTTCTGTCTCTGGGCTTTCAGAACTAGTAGCAATTGTCCATGTACTGTAGCCTACATCTCATTGATCCTTGATGCCTGTGAACAGTATAGTGTGTGCTTTAATGTATGCTTTCTTTTTCTGAAAGGGATATACTAAGTTCTTATAAGTAAAAGTAGCAATACCAGTAAAGAAACTCTGTACGTAAGTCTGTAAGTAAGAGTCCTGCATTTAACTTCTTACATAAGTACAACATTGTAAGCATTAAAATATAAATAGCAAAATAATCCTGGAAATATAATGTACTTTAGTTAAGTCCTTTAGTAAATGTACTTCGTAACATTCCACCACTGCTTTCTGTGTGTCTGTATATATGTGTAAGGAGGATGTGTCAATAAACTTCCCTCTGCACTTCAGATGGGTTGGGGGGACTTGGGGGTGTTGGGTCAGCCCTCTAAAGAGACCCCCAACCTGGATGCCATGGCTGCTCAGGGCATGCTGTTTCCAAATTTCTACACTGCCAACCCGCTCTGTTCCCCATGTGAGTCAGCAGCTCTATGTTGTAATATAGAAGCTAACAGGATGTTAGAACAATGCCAGTCATAATCACTACTTCCTTCTATCTCTACTTGCTTTTATTGTCACATTATCAAAATGTTCGAATAGCACCTGATATATGAAAGAACCTCAAAAAAATAAGCTTGCACCTCATCTCATTTAAATACAACATACAGAACAAAGTACACTACTTACAGTTATTACATTAACTATTGTTGAAAAGGGAGTTTGTATTTTGTACAAAAAAGGTTAATAAAAAAGTACAGATAATGTATTACAAATGCCAGTTTGACAAGCTGTAAAGGTAATTTGCTTATTTTTTTGATTGAATTGTGTTCATTGGGGTTGCACTTGACAGCAGTGATCATTGATTATAATTAAGATTTTAATAGCAGTTGATAAAATAATGGGTATTGGTATTTGAGTTGTTACAAAAAACCCAATTTCAAAAGCTTAACGTATCAACATACTATTCAGATGCATGCCAGAGCATTATGAAAACAAGGGGGGAAAAGCATTTGGATCATCATAATGAACTTTTTTTCCCATAATTTACAACAGCCAGGGCTGCTCTTCTCACCGGGAGGCTGCCTGTCAGAAACGGTTTCTACACCACGAACGGCCACGCCAGAAACGGTACACTTGCAGTATATCCAAACTGTGTAAATTATCCAGCTGCAAATGATTTCCTGCAGGTTTTCTCATTACTATAATGTACAGTGTGCAGTTAAGTCACGGAAAGTTTTGTACACTAAACTCTGACCTTTTTTATAGCATACACACCACAGGAGATAGTGGGAGGAATCTCCAAGGACGAGATTTTGTTACCCCAGATAATGAAGAAAAAGGGCTATGTCAGCAAGATTGTTGGCAAGTGGTGAGCTCTTTATCTTTTGTATTCCACGTTTTTAGAGGTTTCTGAACTTTTAGAGGTTGCAGTATGTTGATGACCATCCTTGATGGTGCCATGGAATAAATGCCTCGCATTACAGGACCGAGGCTATACTTAAAGCTGGGCAGGCAGCTTTGGAAAAGCCAGCAAAACTAAGCTACATTTTTTAAAGTATCCAAACGTTTGTTTATATTTATTGATTGCTGTCATCTGGAAAGAGAATTTGAAAAAATATAACAAAAGATTATTCCAAAATAACTTTCCTACTCTAGCTTTAACATTACTGATGAACATTCTTTCCACAGTCTTTAATCATTTAGTTTTTATCTCCACTAAGTTTCTTTGCAGTAATGCAACCAGGCATGCTTACTTATCCTCAAAATGTTACTACCAATCACACAGCTTTGCAGACCTGTCTTAAAGTTTCAAACCTCTGCAAAAGGTTTAAAAGGTCTGCATTTAGGTCCTAAATTGAATTGAATAGAAACCAATCAGAGCCATAATATAGTCATTTGCGGAAAAAACATGAATTTAAGTATGTTGCGCGTTTCGAAAAAAAAGATTTGTAGTGGCAAAAGAACAATTGGTTTGTAGTAGAAGTCCACATTTACAGTAAACATGCAGAATGGTCCTTCAGTCTCATTGATCTTACAGTGTATGAGTTCACTTTGTTTGTCACTCAGGCATCTGGGCCACAGACCGCAGTACCTGCCTCTGAAGAATGGTTTTGATGAATGGTTTGGTGCACCAGACTGCCACTTTGGCCCTTACAACGGCAGCATCAGACCCAACATCCCCGTCTACAACAACTCTGAGATGCTTGGCAGGTAGGATAACACACAAGCACTCAGATATGCATAACAGCAGACAGAAACCGAGGCTGAAAATCTATAAAAATCTTCATTCCACCTGACTCAGTGGAATAGCTTGGCTGTCTGCTTCTCTGGATGAGTTGGGTGTCTCCCCTCCTCTTCTTCCTCTGTACCAGCTGTGCTTGTGTATTCCATTTTCCGCCCATTTGTTTTCCCCAAAACAGCCATATGTGTATTCAGGGTCATTGGAACTGGCAGCCGGGCGTGTTTTTCGCTTAGCCGTGGGTTTAATCAGCATTGCTTACCTGGGCCCTGGACAGACAAACACACACACATAGACACGCATACTCACTGAAACACACAAGCCCTCATGAGACGGCAGGTTGCGTTGGCTGTGTGCGAGGACACCTGGAGGAAGTGAAGCGTAAGAAAGAGAGATGCCTGTCACTGCCTCCCTGCTTGCTGCGCCACGCTTCAGCAACACCTCATAACAGTTCCCTCTGTTCAGATCTGCAGAGACTCCCCAGATATGTCTTTCACCAAAATCTCCTGCAAACACAGTCCGCAAGAGGGAAATTTGCTTCTGTTGTCGACCGTAATGATATTGTCTGCGGTAGTCTAGGTCAATTTAGAGGGAGATTGAAAGCCTTGACAATACAATCAGGTTGCTATGAAAGAGTTATTTTATGCGGTTGAATGAGCAGTGGAGAAATGGCATGGTGTGGGGACAGCAGCTATTCAGATGGGATAATGGCTAAATAAATATGAAGGTTTATTTAATAAATAATAGCAACCCACTTGTTTTCCAGATACTACGAGGAGTTTAAGATTGACAGGAAAACTGGAGAGTCCAACCTCACACAGATGTACCTGCTGGTAAGTTAAGGCTCACAACACTTCAGTGGAGTATTTCAGATAAACCAAATTCTGTTTCAAAGTTTCCTCTGTAAAGTCATTATTAGAACATAATGAAAGTCACTATATATTTATGGTCTACCATAGAAGAATGGTCTTTTGTTCACCAGAACATAAAAGCACAAAAAAGTGAATCATCTATTTAACCAATTTTAAAGCTCAATTAAAGCCTGATTTTGGCCTTTGATCATTGCCATGCTTTTCACCGGCAGAAGTGGATTGTTGACTTTTGCGCACTCTGTTTGATTATCCCTGCTGCCTACGTCTGTCCCTCCTATTCAGTTTATAAAGGGATCAAAAGCAGCATGCAGAGACGCGCTGCATGCTTGAGAGGCGCACTCTGCAATCACAAGAAGAAGATGGATCTGTCAAATAGAACTTTGTAAAGCTCCTATTAGTATGCTTTTTGTGATCAACAATTTACATTTTAGAACAGTACGAAACAAAGACGCAGCCCTGAAAATAGGTGGCAACTATTCCCAGGTGCAGTACCAAATAGACTACAGAAATCAATATTTTATGCCTTTTTCGAAAATAAAAGTCTCAGTAGACCTATTATTAATGTTGTTGAGGAAACAAAGGCACAACATGTTTAGATGTAGTATGTAGAGGAAAAAGGGGTTATTTGCTGACAACTGTATTGTGATTCAAGTAAGCCATTTAACATCTGCACTGACAGACTCTCCCACCCTCCGCCCTCTACAGGAAGGTGTTGACTTCATCCGCCGTCAGACAGAGGCCCAGCGGCCCTTCTTCCTCTACTGGGCGCCCGACGCAACTCACGCCCCTGTCTACGCCTCCAAACCCTTCCTAGACCAAAGCCAGCGAGGCCGGTACTTTATATCCTACTGTACATTACTGACTTATTGTCCAGCAGAGGAATAAGGTTATAAACTAGAGAATGCAATTCCTGAAGAAATTGCTAGTGGGAATGCTTTATGCTGAAAAGCTGACGCTAAACTGCTATGCTGAAATGTAATGTGTAAGAAGAAAGTGAATAATTTAGATTGAAATGATACATGAACACTGGGGGCTTGAATGTGTGATAAGAGAAGAAAAGAAAGTAAAAAAGCTTAGAAAAGCAGCAGAATATTTGAACTGCAAACTTTTGAACTAACTTGATGGTGAATGATCTGTCGCCATGCCAACGGCATTTGATGACATCCCATAATAGCTTAGATGCATTGATGGCTGCATCGTTACCAAACCTGTCATTTGGAGCATTTTCACTGAAGTTATGAAAAAACCGTGTTTCATGGCGAGCATTGTGTTGCCATGGCAATGGCACTTGAAGAAATCTCAAAACCGTCCCGTAGATGCCTTCACGGCTGGACTGTTAGGTGAAGTTTGAGCACTTTTTGAACATTTTCATAGGAGTTATAGCGACATCATGTTTTATGGCGAGGGATAAAAGAAATAATTGACATAGAGCTGTTGAGGGCTGGACCGTTAACCATTATCTGAAGTGTAGTGCTGTTTTGACCTTTTCATAGCGTTACGCAACATCGTGTTTATGGCGAGGGCATGCGTTCCCATGGAAACGGCAATATGGTGAGAGGTCAGCATTTGACGTAGAGCTGTGAGGCACGGAGAGGTGATACTACAGGTGAAGATTTTGCAGGACGACCGGACCATGTCCATTGGAGCTACAGCGACATCCCGCTGTCTTCATGGCGAGGGATGCGTTTCT